TCCTGGGGTTTGGTAAATTTCAAAACCCTTCATCCAGAGACATTTTGAATCTAGAGTCTGTATTTTATATCTCAATAACTCTGTCTATTTGAAGGAATCAAAATGCTCCCAAAGAGCCAGTTCCATTGCCTTTCTTGATACTATTTCATTTCCACTGTAAGAAGTCCCTCATGCTAAACCCAAGACTTTTCCTGAAGAATTATACTTTCAGCTTGTTTACTTCCAAAAAAAAAATCATTCTAGAGTAGCCTGATCAAATACATTTTCAAGGTGTTAGCCTTCTTTTAAAAAAAGAAAGAAAAATGAACTACATTCATATTTGGAAGGAGTGACATTTGTTAAAGATTGGGGGGATTTTTTTTTATAACTAGATATTCAGTACAGTAGAATTCACTTATTATTTTACTAGACTACATAAGAGGACCCACAGCAAATTTGTTGCTTTTCTTTTACAGTTTCATTTAAGATTAATCAGATATAACTTGAAGTATTTACCTCAATCTGAGCTGTATGCTTGGCATAGAATTCCAAAGCTTCATCTCCGTCTATTTGGCCTCCAGGCTTCAACATGTTCTGCAGTTCTTTGTTGTGGCGAGCAAGCTAAAATAAATGAACAGTTAGGAAGGGCAAGAAGCTTGCACTGTTTCCTGCTTAAAACAAAAAAGAAATCTATTGAAAGAAACAGAGAAACAGCCTAATTTACTTCAAATCAAATGAAATATTGACTTGGTCAGGTTAAAACCTGAAGTAGCTACAGCAGAGGTTATCTTCCTGCCTTTTTTTTTTTTCCCTACAAATCCTTGTCAGGAGCACATGCAGTATCCTTCAGCACCCCAGAACTGTGCTGTCAACATTCTGCAGCCAAATGGTCAGACTTCAACAGTGCAATTTCAACCCAGATGGAATTGAAGTGTTTTGTACTGGAAGACCTTCAGAGCCCATACCACTGTCAATGCCTCCAAAATGTTTTTTTTTAATGTGCCAAAAAAAGAAATCAGCAAATTCTTGTGGCCCTCCAGAACATCACAATATTTATTTCAGCCCCCTATATGTGAAACACTGCCCATCTCTGCACCAGGTTGTCATTACCATTTGTCTTCAACTGCATACCACTTGATAGTTCCACATATCCCACTCTCCCCCACACGCCTCCTCCCCAGTTCAGACCATCTTGGCTTCTTCTTCCTTACTTTGTATAATATGAAAATACATACCTTAGATATGAGAAGTGTTTTGTGTAAAAGAATTTACTACTGTAATACATATTAACATCCTTTCAAACATTTTTTCAGCCTGAATACCATTTCATAAATAGTAACACAAGTTATTGCTATACTGTATTTGTTAGAACCCAGCTTAAAATGCATCTCCATAAAGCTGGCAAATTGAATATGAGAAAGACCACTCAAAAAGTACCACTCTTATTTTTAAAAAATTGAATAGTTGGCAATCATTACAAACTCCTTTCTGTTATTTATGAATACTGCTAAAGCAATTGATCTTCAAAATGAAAACAGTTTGGTTCTCTTTTATTTGGAGTGTAATAAGTTTTGTTATGTGAAGTATATCAGTTTGAGACAGACTAAAGGATGGACAATCAGTGAAATATTATGCTCCCAGAATGCTTAACAACAAATGCATGTGTCAGCATATAGGGAGAAAAATTGCATAACAAAACATTTAGTTTAAGAAGGACAAACTAATTTGCACCAAGAGCATAACTAAAGTGGGCAACTGCAGATTTTGAGCAAACGTGAACAACTGGCAACAATGCTTTATATTCCTTGAAAATGTATTTTGATTCCTTTCCCTGTTTGGGTCAGTTCAAATTAGCCATTAGGATGCGCATATGATGACTAGATAAGATAGCCAAAAGGGACAGCTTTACAAGCTGGTAAACAATTCTGATTCAGAATTTTCTACACTGTAGGTGTAGAGCAACCTTTCCCATTCTACTGCTCTTGGACTACCCCTCCTATTATACTATCTGGAAATAATGAAAATATAATACAACACATCTGGAAAGCATCAGGTTGGAAAAACCAACATGTACTTGGCTTGGTTCCCTTCCTTTCAGGACCGTCTCCTCCAAGGAAAATCAGCTTGTGCTGTGCATTTAAATCCAAGAAGGAATGCTTTGGATTTCCTCCCACTGAGTGTTCAAAATGATGGGACCCAATGCAAAGTCTCCTCAGTGGCTTCCCCACCAGTATGGAACTGGTTACGCCCATAGGCCATGATGGTCCCACAGCTTCTGTCTTTAGGAAAGCAGCAAAAAGAGTTTTATTTCACCTGACGTTTGGATTTTAGCAGCTTATGATTGACTTATTTTTCTGCTATTCATTTATATATTTCTGGTTTGGGGTTATGAAATCTGGAATGGGTTTTATGAGGTTTTATGTTATTTCACTGATGACTGAGATGGTATACAGAGATTGTAATAAAGTAAGTATGTACAAATTCAAAAATTTCTTAGAATATTCCAGGAATGTCAGCTCCCCAACTATAGTTTGGAGGAAATGAGAAAGCACTTGTCTATATGGTGCATTACACAACAGGCAAATGCAGCAGCTATGTCTCCTAGTTATCGGCACAAACTGGCCTGTTCCAGTCAGTAAAGAATCAATACAGTTGTCTTGTGCCAAGAGGATAAACTTCAATGAATTATTGCATTTAACTCCCAACAAGGCTCATATTGTCATCCCTGAAATGAATTCCTGCAGTGCATGGCTCAACTACTATGGATAAAATGCTATAGACTTTGGGCTAAATTCTTCTGGTATAAATATAAACATACCTGATGGGCTAATATGTAAATATTGTGCCCTACATTTCTAGGAGATGCAGCAAGATCTTCACCATTCTCCCCATCTTCAAATTCAACCTCACCTTGCAGATAAGCCTTCTTAATTACTTCTACCTGTAGAGAAAGAGAAATATACTTCATGAGTTAAAAAAAATAGATACGAAAACAAAATAAAATCAAAGTATTCAAGCTGATTCATATTTTCATTCTATTTCAGATATTCTGAAAATGAAACTTGAATGAAGTCGTTTTTATTTCCTTCTATCCTTTGAAGCTGGGGGTCACTGGCTTAGGTTACTGCTACTGCTGTTGGTATTAAAGCAACTGTAATTTATATCAGAAATAAATTGACTCGGTGGAATGAATGCCAAAAATAAAGACTTAAGCTTTATCTCCAGATCACACCATTATTCCTGAATAATATATTCCATTATAAGCTCATCTCAGATAACTACCATAACTACAGTATATGGGTTTGAATTCCATGCTTGCATTTTGTTGTTTGTTAAAGTGGGACAAAAGAACACTTAGAAATGGTAGTTTTTTAAAATAACATCTAAATGTCTACTTCAAATCATTATGTTATAAAATATTATTTTATATTATTTTAACTCATATACATACAACTTATCAACACAGAGTTATTGATTAGGGAGTCCATCAAAATAAATAAAATAAATCTCAGAATCAAAGAACACAGTGATAGAATTTCAGCAGTTTTCTTTTTCTTTACTACTTGATCTTCACCAATGAGCTGCTGCAGTGTTATAACTTTCCAGGCTTCTGTACTGAACCTAAATGTAGTTGGACATTTTGCTCCTAACTACTTGAGAACAAAGGGGACAGTGACTTGTCAGAAAAGCTAGTTATTTCAGTCATGCCTTCCAAGTTCTTCTAATCAGTCTTTTACACTGAACATACAAACATTACTCTGTCCATGGAAGAGTTTTGATCCATTGGGGAGGTCTGGCTAACAGAAGGGAAGGGGAGGAACTGCCTTTTTCATCCATTGCATTGCCTCCCACAGTGCTCATGAAGGTCCTCCTATCCCTTGGAGCAAATTTTTCAAGATCACAGAAAGCTAATGGAGAAAATCGATAAAAGTGTCCTTCCCTTCTTTCTGTGAGAATGAAGCCTGGATCAATGCCACCAGATTTTCAGGATATATTTCTATATAGTTTAATATTGTTCAATTTCACCTTATAAAACAGATTTTCTCTTCTCCACTTGGCCTGAACTTTGCCTGTACCCCCCAGCATCCAAGTTACCACAGAACTCTAGCATTTTACCAGTAGAGATGATCACAGTAAAAATGATATTGTAACTGTAGTAGGAAGCAATGCTTTTTAAACTCTGAAGTTAAGCAAACTTAAAAGCCACTGTGAATATAGAACAAAGCTCTTTCAATTTACTGCTAAGCATAATAAGGCTCAGTTAAGGAAAGGCCTCAATTTACAAGATCCAAAATGTCTTAAACACACATCTGGCAACAAGATAATTTCATGCTGCCCAAATTAATAGGAGCATATTCTTGGAAACATACCAGTTCTTTTGGTCTCATGTTATAAAGGATCCTTTCTGCATTCTCACTGTCATGCCTACTTTCCATTATAGCCAAGAGTAACTTAGAGGCATTATTCTGGAAAAAAAAAAAAAGGAAATTTAAGTAAAGTAAGCTGATTAAAATATCCACGTATTACAAAAAACAAAAACATGTCAAAAGAGAAGCACAGATGAACATGACTACTTCCTACTGCATGATTTTAGAAAACCTGACTGATCACAAAGCAACAGAGAAAGGACAAATGAAAGAGAGTAAAAAGTATCTAACTATATGTACCATGAAGATAAAACCAACTGTTAAAAACCAGTGTTCTTTAAATACTTAGGAAAAGTAATTTGCATTCAAAACACGGTTCCAGCAGTATATCCAATATTTGAGAGAGGCTATGACACAGACCTCATTTGTACATAATAATTAACACAGTATGTTAAAAATCATGAACATGTTGAATAAGTTACAAAGCCTTGTTTGGTAGAAACATAGAAAGGAGGATTCTGTCCTTGCAGTAGGTGACTGCTGTTGCCATGACTATTTTTTCCTTGATATGTTAACGGACAGGAAGGTTTATATTTGATCACAGTTTTCGGCTTTTGTTATATTTCCTTTGCTATTCTTTCTATTTTCTTTTTGTATTATTTGTAAGCTGCTTACAGCCTTTGGGAACTGAGCAGCATATAAAAAATAAATAATAAAATGTTACACAGTAGGCTATGCTGAAAACGAGTTATATTATGACTAACAATTTCTAGCAAGATTTATTTTTTATAGGTGTCCTTTGAAGTACAATACTAAAAATTAGATCTGCCCATCCCTCTAGATCTGGCACAGAAGGCATGCTGTGGGTCCCATCTGCTAGGGACTTACATCTGGCAGGTCCCAGGAGGTGGGCCTTCTCTGCCATGGTGCCCACCTGATGGATCATTCTCTCCCCGGAAGTGAGGTTGGCTCCATCCCTATTAATGTTCCGGAAGTCCCTCAAGACCTGATCACATCATCAGGCCTGGGGGTCCCAGGGGCCGGGGAGATTTTACGATGGCTCCATCACTGTAGTTAATATTCACTCTCTCCTGTGCCTTTTTAAAAATATTTTAATAATCACTGTTTTATATTTTTAATGATGATTGTTTTTATATATATCTATTTTTATTAATTGTTGTAAGCTGCCTGGCCAGAGTCACTTTTTGTGAAGTGGGCAGTGTCAGGCCTAGCCCAAGGAACTCCAAGAGACCATG